GAAAGATATTGTTAATAGAAACGTTATCCCTACAGACAAAAGTCAGAGGATACAACTGACGATTTACTATAAAACCAGAAAAACGGCCAGCCTACTCATGAGAAACTCTCCAGACACAAAACAGAACGCTTTAAAAGAGACTAACGTCGTCTATGCCTTCAAATGCCCTCTTGGGGACTGTAAGCTCCAAAAAACCCAGTATATAGGCAAGACAACAACATCTATTTCTAGGCGTTTAACGATGCATAAGCAACAGGGCTCCATTAAGGAACATATAATCTCTTCCCACAACCAAACCATCGCCAGAGAAATCCTAGTAAACAACACAGAAATCATCGATAGATACAGCGATAGCAGGCGGCTTGACGTTTGCGAGGCACTACACATCAAGAAGTCAACACCAGCAATCAACAGCCAATTATTGCACAACTATATTCTACCCACCTCAAGACTCCGCTCCAATATAGAAGCATCAAGAAATATGGACCAATAGGCTTTCTACAAACACTTCTATTCAATATCCATTGTTTCGTGTTCTGTCTTGTGTTGATGAAATTAATACCCTATTAATACTCTTGTTCTGTCTTGTGTTGATGAAATTAATACCCTATTAATGCCACATCTTGTTCTGTCTTGTGTTAATGCCACATCACCCCTTCCACCTCACTCAAATGTAGATATAAAATCGGAGATGCGTAAGTTCTATTCAGTTGTGTATTTGTGAACTAAAAGTCTTTGAAAATGTAATAAGTTTTACGAAACGCGCTCGTGTCGCGTCAGACTAGAAATAAAAATGAATTTTGGAGAATTGATTTTTGATTTACCTCCAACAGTGAAAAGAAATGTACGAAAGATTGAGAAAATTCGTGTTAGAATTATTAATCTTACTTTTTCGGTCATATTTAATAATATATGTCTACAGGAAAGACTGCTACCAATATATATATATATATATATATATATATATATATATATATATATATATATATATATATATATATATATATATATATATATATATATATATTGTGACGATAATCTCTTTCAAGAGAGATTGAGCCTGCTCTTCCCTACATAAGTACATCAATATACAAGTGACTATATACAAAATACGTTCACCAAGTATCGCCAAACGTTTTGCCCAGAGAGCAAATCGTACCCAGCACACCGTGACACCTGCTACCACCACCGTAACCAGCTAACTGCTCATCCTCTGCCTGCCTGTCGCTGATTGGCTGGTGTCTCGTCGCACCTGCCCTCCGCCTCCACCACAAGTCGACGTCTGGGCTGCAGTGCGGCAGTATCGTCAGAATATCTCAGTGCTCCTTGCAGTTGACATCTCTCGCTGGTAGACTAAGCCTTGGCTTTCGTGTACTAAGGGAGGTGGCAGCTCGAAGCCAGTATTCCAGCACCACTAATATTTTATTTTGCTATCACTGTAACTTACTTGTCTTAACGTAACTTTTCATTTGCCAGTGATTATTCATATTATTTTGTTTGTTGACTTATCTTGCATACTTTTATGTGATTATCTTTATTCATGTCTTGTTTTTCTAGAGTAATTAAAATTTCATTGTTTATATACTTGTGTTTTGTGTGTCTTCCCATTACCTTACCACAGACGAAAGGACCAACTTTTCTCTTTTTTTTTGATTATGTGACGAGGCCCTGCCCCTAGCTTTGAAACAGCCGAACACCAACGCTTTACCGTCACATAACGTGGGGGCCTGTCCTAGGAGCTTCACTCAGGTACTGGTGCCAAGTAGCAAATTTATGGTAAGCGTATTTGGCTTTGGTAACGTAGCTTTTTACTATTTTCAATTTTCAATTTTATTTTCATATGGTGCTGTGTGTATTGTGCATTCCGAGAGTAGCATATGGTGACGGTGAGACAACTTTGGATTGCGTGGTGACTGTAGGCCTCAGTCATACTCTTAATTGGTTATCTCTCCCTCCGTGTTATTACTCGTGTTTACCATCTTTTGTCCCTAGGATATTTCTCATATTTTCGACAGATCATCATATTGGGACCCTGGTACTGTGGTCGGTCCCCGGGTCAAGTGCACCTAATCTTCTCCAATCTGACAGTAGGAGGATAAAGAGGGCCATTGTTCCTCTAGCACGAACTTTAGTTGCTGAATTGGGACCTCAGCAGCAGTTCTCATCACCAGTTGACACCTCGCACCCCTACTCGTCGGTCAGAGATGATGATATTTACATTGGTAGGGAATTAGCCTTCTTTTTCAGAGCACAAAAGTTCGCTAATTCTGTAAGTATCATATTAATTTCAGTGGGAAAAACTTGCTTATGTCCTATAGAGACTCGGCAAGGTATGCCTACATTCTTGGACTATCAATTTTACTTTTGATGCAATTAACTGTTTCATTTGTTTTAGAAACTCAGTTTCGCTTGTTTAGTAGGATTTTCTTGCCCTTATCCTCTTACATGAGTACCGGGTACAAGATTTCCTGCGACCTTGATTTATTAATCATTTATCATCTTGTAATTAACATTAATTGTTAAAGATTCCACAGGATAGGTACCAGTTGCCACGTTGTCCTGTTTCTGACATTCACCATATCACAACAGTATATTCGTTGTGCATTTATTTGCTAATTTCACCATGTTTCGTCTCCAAGCTTTCCGTGCAGATCTAGCAGGTGCAATAGGGACTTTAAGTTATGCCAAGAGGACTGAATTACAAACTCTTGCACATGAGTATCAACTAGCAGTTCCTTACCAAGCCAACAAAAATGAAATACATAACCTGTTACTGGATCATTTCTTAGAGGAAGGTAAGATAGACCCTGAAACTCACGAAACTTACTTTATTGCAGATAAAACTGATTTGGCAACGATGAAACTCAAACTAGAGCTGGCCAAGATCGAACGCGAGCAGCAAAGGGAAGCAGCTGCCATGCAAAGAGAAGCCCTTGAGCAACAAGGGGAAGCAGCTGCCATACGAAAGGAAGAAAAGGAACGAGAAGCTGCCTTGTAGAAGGAAGAACAAGAACGTGAAATCGCCCTCAAGGAACGTGAGGTTGCAATACTCCGTGAGCGGGAACGAATACAGCTTGAAACAAAACAACGCCAATTGGAGATGCAACACGAACATGACAGACAACAAGCAACCCTGACTATGGAATGTCGTCAACAAGAATTCGCGTTGGAAACTTCACACACCTCGCTCAACGCCAACAAGATACTGCCAATCTTCCCGTCAGTTTCAATATATCACAATCAAGTAAGTTAATGCCACCATTCGTAGAAACAGAAGTTGATGTGTTTTTCACCACCTTTGAAACCCTTGCTAATCAACTTAGTTGGCCTGTCGACCTGTTGGCCTGTCGACCTGTTGGCCTGTCGACCTGTTGGCCTGTCGACCTGTTGGCCTGTATTTTTATGTGATTACCTTTATTCATGTCTTGTTTTTCTAGAGTAATTAAAATTTCATTGTTTATATACTTGTGTTTTGTGTGTCTTCCCATTACCTTACCACAGACGAAAGGACCAACTTTTCTCTTTTTTTTTATTATGTGACGAGGCCCTGCCCCTAGCTTTGAAACAGCCGAACACCAACGCTGTACTGTCACAATATATATATATATATATATATATATATATATATATATATATATATATATATATATATATATATATATATATATATATATATATATATATATATATATTTAGCTTCAGCTACCTCATCCCTTTGTGTGTATTTATACCTCAATAAACTTATTTGAATATAATTTACGTTAATGACTTTTTAATTTAATTGATTTTGTTTTTATATATACGTTCAAGAGTTGTTACATTCTTGTACAGCCACTAGCAGGCATAGCGTCTCGGGCAGGTCCTTAAACCAAATTTTCCCCTGGAATACGACCCGGTAAATCGCTTAACAGCCTGGTTAACCACCGTCGCTTAACAATCAGGACTTCCTGGTGAGAGTGGGCGCGTATGTCTCCATATACTGCACTCTTGGGTAATGTTAAAACCGAAGACTGCAGAGACGTACAGGAACACCTTGACAAGCCAGCCTCTCAACTGCCAATAGAAACTTGCAGCTTGTACCCAATTCGCAAGAAGGCTTGCAACATTCAACAGCTCATTTAAAGCTAATGGGGTTCTCTTGAGATCTTGAGGTTATCTTGAGATGATTTCAGGGCTTTAGTGTCCCCGCGGCCCGGTCCTCGACCAGGCCTCCACCCCCAGGAAGCAGCCCGTGACAGCAGACTAACACCCAGGTACCTATTTTACTGCTAGGTAACAGGGGCATTCAGGGTGAAAGAAACTTTGCCCATTTGTTGTAGCCTGGTGCTTAAGGGTACTCAAGGAAGCTTGTAACAATTCATAAGATTATTTCAGCGCACAAACAATCTCTTTCACCTGGGAACCAAAACACATTAAGGCAACAAGGGTTATTTTAGGGCCGCTGCTGTTACCTATTGAACCCTATCGCATAGTCTTAAAGTTACGGCCTGTGATGGAAACTATTAAGACTGTTTTGGAAGTTGTCACTTGTTCTGGAGTCTTTAATCAGTTCTGAAATGTTATGTTTTGAACAGGACTGCCACCTGTGCTGCCATCTGTAGTCGGTGCTGGGAACTTTTGCTCGTCCCGAAAATTAAGTTTGGTTCTAGAAGCAAAAATGTGCGCTGGAAGCAGCAGTTATGTTGGAAAATCCTGTATGAATTATAATGTGGCGTCCTTAGTGGACTGTGCTCTAGTACATCAGGAGTCCACTGTATTGGACTGTGCTCCAGTACATCAGGAGTCCACTGTATTGGACTGTGCTCCAGTACATCAGGAGTCCACTGTATTGGACTGTGCTCCAGTATATCTAGAGTCCACTGTACACGATTGTGCTCTGGTACATCAAGAGTCCACTGTACAGGACTGTGCTCTGGTACATCAAGAGTCCACTGTACAGGACAGTGCTCTGGTACAACAAGAGTCCACTGTACAGGACTGTGCTCTGGTACATCAACCGTTCACTGTATTGGACTGTGCTCCAGTACATCTAGAGTCCACTGTACAGGACTGTACTCTGGTACATCAAGAGTCCACTGTACTGGACTGTGCTCTGGTACATCATGAGTCCACTGTACAGGACTGTGCTCTGGTACATCAAGAGTCCACTGTACTGGACTGTACTCTGGTACATCAAGAGTCCACTGTACTGGACTGTGCTCCAGTACATCAGGAGTCCACTGTATTGGACTGTGCTCCAGTATATCTAGAGTCCACTGTACACGATTGTGCTCTGGTACATCAAGAGTCCACTGTACTGGACTGTGCTCTGGTACATCATGAGTCCACTGTACAGGACTGTGCTCTGGTACATCAACAGTCCACTGTATTGGACTGTGCTCCAGTACATCTAGAGTCCACTGTACAGGACTGTGCTCTGATACATCAAGAGTCCACTGTATTGGACTGTGCTCCAGTATACCTAGAGTCCACTGTACAGGACTGTGCTCTGGTACACCAAGAGTCCACTGTACAGGACTGTGCTCTGGTACATCAACAGTCCACTGTATTGGACTGTGCTCCAGTATACCTAGAGTCCACTGTACAGGACTGTGCTCTGGTACACCAAGAGTCCACTGTACAGGACTGTGCTCTGGTACATCAACAGTCCACTGTATTGGACTGTGCTCCAGTACATCTAGAGTCCACTGTACAGGACTGTGCTCTGATACATCAAGAGTCCACTGTATTGGACTGTGCTCCAGTATACCTAGAGTCCACTGTACAGGACTGTGCTCTGGTACACCAAGAGTCCACTGTACAGGACTGTGCTCTGGTACACCAAGAGTCCACTGTACAGGACTGTGCTCTGGTACATCAAGAGTCCACTGTACCGGACTGTGCTCTGGTACACCAAGAGTCCACTGTATGGGACTGTGCTCCAGTTCACCAAGAGTCCACTGTACAGGACTGTGCTCTGGGGCAGCAAGAGTCCACTGTACAGGACTGTACTCTGGTACATCAAGAGTCCACTGTACTGGACTGTGCTCTGGTACAGCAAGAGTCCACTGTACAGGACTGTGCTCTGGTACACCAAGAGTCCACTGTATGGGACTGTGCTCCAGTACACCAAGAGTCCACTGTACTGGACTGTGCTCTGGTACACCAAGAGTCCACTGTACAGGACTGTGCTCTGGTACACCAAGAGTCCACTGTATGGGACTGTGCTCCAGTACACCAAGAGTCCACTGTATGGGACTGTGCTCTGGTACACCAAGAGTCCACTGTATGGGACTGTGCTCCAGTACACCAAGAGTCCACTGTACAGGACTGTGCTCCAGTACACCAAGAGTCCACTGTACAGGACTGTGCTCTGGTACACCAAGAGTCCACTGTATGGGACTGTGCTCCAGTACACCAAGAGTCCACTGTATGGGACTGTGCTCCAGTACACCAAGAGTCCACTGTACAGGACTGTGCTCTGGTACACCAAGAGTCCACTGTATGGGACTGTGCTCCAGTACACCAAGAGTCCACTGTACAGGACTGTGCTCTGGTACACCAAGAGTCCACTGTACAGGACTGTACTCTGGTATACCAAGAGTCCACTGTACAGGACTGTGCTCTGGTACACCAAGAGTCCACTGTATGGGACTGTGCTCTGATACACCAAGAGTCCACTGTACAGGACTGTGCTCTGGGGCAGCAAGAGTCCACTGTACAGGACTGTACTCTGGTACATCAAGAGTCCACTGTACTGGACTGTGCTCTGGTACAGCAAGAGTCCACTGTACAGGACTGTGCTCTGGTACACCAAGAGTCCACTGTATGGGACTGTGCTCCAGTACACCAAGAGTCCACTGTACTGGACTGTGCTCTGGTACACCAAGAGTCCACTGTACAGGACTGTGCTCTGGTACACCAAGAGTCCACTGTATGGGACTGTGCTCTGGTACACCAAGAGTCCACTGTATGGGACTGTGCTCCAGTACACCAAGAGTCCACTGTATGGGACTGTGCTCCAGTACACCAAGAGTCCACTGTACAGGACTGTACTCTGGTATACCAAGAGTCCACTGTATGGGACTGTGCTCCAGTACACCAAGAGTCCACTGTATGGGACTGTGCTCTGGTACACCAAGAGTCCACTGTATGGGACTGTGCTCTGGTACACCAAGAGTCCACTGTACAGGACTGTGCTCTGGTACACCAAGAGTCCACTGTATGGGACTGTGCTCCAGTACACCAAGAGTCCACTGTATGGGACTGTGCTCCAGTACACCAAGAGTCCACTGTACAGGACTGTGCTCTGGTACACCAAGAGTCCACTGTATGGGACTGTGCTCCAGTACACCAAGAGTCCACTGTACAGGACTGTGCTCTGGTACACCAAGAGTCCACTGTACAGGACTGTACTCTGGTATACCAAGAGTCCACTGTACAGGACTGTGCTCTGGTACACCAAGAGTCCACTGTATGGGACTGTGCTCTGATACACCAAGAGTCCACTGTACAGGACTGTGCTCTGGTACACCAAGAGTCCACTGTACAGGACTGTACTCTGGTATACCAAGAGTCCACTGTACAGGACTGTGCTCTGGTACACCAAGAGTCCACTGTATGGGACTGTGCTCTGATACACCAAGAGTCCACTGTACAGGACTGTGCTCTGGTACACCAAGAGTCCACTGTACTGGACTGTGCTCTGGTACACCAAGAGTCCACTGTACTGGACTGTGCTCCAGTACACCAAGAGTCCACTGTACTGGACTGTGCTCTGGTACACCAAGAGTCCACTGTACAGGACTGTACTCTGGTATACCAAGAGTCCACTGTACAGGACTGTGCTCTGGTACACCAAGAGTCCACTGTATGGGACTGTGCTCTGATACACCAAGAGTCCACTGTACAGGACTGTGCTCTGGTACACCAAGAGTCCACTGTACTGGACTGTGCTCTAGTACACCAAGAGTCCACTGTACAGGACTGTACTCTGGTATACCAAGAGTCCACTGTATGGGACTGTGCTCTGGTACACCAAGAGTCCACTGTATGGGACTGTGCTCTGGTACACCAAGAGTCCACTGTATGGGACTGTGCTCTGGTACACCAAGAGTCCACTGTATGGGACTGTGCTCTGGTACACCAAGAGTCCACTGTATGGGACTGTGCTCTGGTACACCAAGAGTCCACTGTACAGGACTGTGCTCTGGTACACCAAGAGTCCACTGTATGGGACTGTACTCTGGTACACCAAGAGTCCACTGTATGGGACTGTGCTCTGGTACACCAAGAGTCCACTGTATGGGACTGTGCTCTGGTACACCAAGAGTCCACTGTACTGGACTGTGCTCTAGTACACCAAGAGTCCACTGTATGGGACCCCAAAGCTGAAACTGGGCTACAAACATATATTGTACAAGAAGCTACCGCCTGTCCATTGTCAGCAGCCTTCCTAGTAACTTACAACTGTCCTGGAAGCTGGCAAGTGTCCTGGACCCTGACAAGTGTCCTGGAAGCTCGCAGGTGTCCTGGACCCTGACAAGTGTCCTGGAAGCTGCAGACTCTCCTGGACGCTGGCAAGTGTCCTGGACGCTGGCAAGTGTCCTGGAAGCTAGCGACTGTCCTGGACGCTGGCAAGTGTCCTGGACGCTGACAAGTGTCCTGGAAGCTGGCAAGTGTCCTGGACCCTGACAAGTGTCCTGGACGCTGGCAAGTGTCCTGGACCCTGACAAGTGTCCTGGACGCTGGCAAGTGTCCTGGACGCTGGCAAGTGTCCTGGACGCTGGCAAGTGTCCTGGACGCAGGGGTCCTGGACCCTGACAAGTGTCCTGGACACTGGCAAGTGTCCTGGACCCTGACAAGTGTCCTGGAAGCTGGCAAGTGTCCTGGACCCTGACAAGTGTCCTGGAAGCTGGCAAGTGTCCTGGACGCTGACAAGTGTCCTGGACGCTGGCAAGTGTCCTGGACGCAGGTGTCCTGGACCCTGACAAGTGTCCTGGAAGCTGGTAAGTGTCCTGGACGCTGGCAAGTGTCCTGGACCCTGACAAGTGTCCTGGATGCTGGCAAGTGTCCTGGACGCTGGCAAGTGTCCTGGACCCTGACAAGTGTCCTGGACCCTGACAAGTGTCCTGGACGCTGACAAGTGTCCTGGACGCTGGCAAGTGTCCTGGACGCTGACAAGTGTCCTGGACGCTGGCAAGTGTCCTGGACGCTGACAAGTGTCCTGGACGCTGGCAAGTGTCCTGGACGCTGACAAGTGTCCTGGACGCTGGCAAGTGTCCTGGAAGCTGACAAGTGTCCTGGACGCTGGCAAGTGTCCTGGACGCTGGCAAGTGTCCTGGACGCTGACAAGTGTCCTGGACGCTGGCAAGTGTCCTGGACGCTGGCAAGTGTCCTGGACGCTGACAAGTGTCCTGGACGCTGGCAAGTGTCCTGGACGCTGACAAGTGTCCTGGACGCTGGCAAGTGTCCTGGACGCTGACAAGTGTCCTGGACGCTGGCAAGTGTCCTGGAAGCTGACAAGTGTCCTGGACGCTGGCAAGTGTCCTGGACCCTGACAAGTGTCCTGGAAGCTGACAAGTGTCCTGGACGCTGGCAAGTGTCCTGGACGCTGACAAGTGTCCTGGACGCTGGCAAGTGTCCTGGACGCTGGCAAGTGTCCTGGACGCTGGCAAGTGTCCTGGACGCTGGCAAGTGTCCTGGACGCTGGCAAGTGTCCTGGACGCTGGCAAGTGTCCTGGACGCAGGTGTCCTGGACCCTGACAAGTGTCCTGGACGCTGACAAGTGTCCTGGACGCTGACAAGTGTCCTGGACGCTGACAAGTGTCCTGGACGCTGACAAGTGTCCTGCACTCTGACAAGTGTCCTGGACGCTGACAAGTGTCCTGGACGCTGACAAGTGTCCTGGACGCTGGCAAGTGTCCTGGACGCTGGCAAGTGTCCTGGACGCTGGCAAGTGTCCTGGACGCTGGCAAGTGTCCTGGACGCTGGCAAGTGTCCTGGACGCTGGCAAGTGTCCTGGACGCAGGTGTCCTGGACCCTGACAAGTGTCCTGGACGCTGACAAGTGTCCTGGACGCTGACAAGTGTCCTGCACTCTGACAAGTGTCCTGGACGCTGACAAGTGTCCTGGACGCTGACAAGTGTCCTGGACGCTGACAAGTGTCCTGGACGCTGACAAGTGTCCTGGACGCTAACAAGTGTCCTGGACGCTGACAAGTGTCCTGGACGCTGACAAGTGTCCTGGACGCTGGCGACTGTGACAGCTGGAGCTGATAATTGGAGTCGACAGGTGACCTCCCTTTTGAACCTAAGGGAAAAGAATTTATATACTGTTATGGTCCATTGTTTCTCTCTGAGTGACCGGAACCTCACGCTCATCTGAGTGGTCTGTACCTCACGCTCATCTGAGTGGTCTGTACCTCACGCTCATCTAAGTGGTCTGTACCTCACTCTCATCTGAGTGGTCTGTACCTCACTCTCATCTGAGTGGTCTGTACCTTACCTGAGTGATCTGTACCTCACCTGAGTGGTCTGTACCTCATCTGAGTGGTCTGTACCTCACGCTCATCTGAGTGTCCTATAAGTTACTCTCACGAGACCTGCAGGTGGCTCTCTCACGAGACCTGCAGGTGGCTCTCTCACGAGACCTGCAGGTGGCTCTCTCACGAGACCTACAGGTTGCTCTCTCACGAGACCTGCAGGTGGCTCTCTCACTAGACCTTCAGGTAGCTCTCTCACGAGACCTGCAGGTGGCTCTCTCACGAGACCTGCAGGTGGCTCTCTCACGAGACCTGCAGGTGGCTCTCTCACTAGACCTGCAGGTAGCTCTCTCACGAGACCTGCAGGTAACTCTCTCACGAGACCTGCAGGTGGCTCTCTCACGAGACCTGCAGGTAGGCTTCCCTCAATTCTTACAGTACAGTGTTGGAGTCAGTTGATTTCGGGGCTTTAGTGTCCCCGCGGCCCGGTCCTTGATCAGGCCTCCACCCCCAGGAAGCAGCCCGTGACAGCTGACTAACACCCAGGTACCTATTTTACTGCTAGGTAACAGGGGCATTCAGGGTGAAAGAAACTTTGCCCATTTGTTTCTGCCTCGTGCGGGAATCGAACCCGCGCCACAGAATTACGAGCCCTGCGCGCTATCCACCAGGCTACGAGGCCCCTTACATCAGAACAACTTTCTCTGTCTAAAATTAACATATATCATTTTGTGTGTTCAAGTATGATTGATAACATTACCCTACAGAAATACATGGGATTTATGAATTTACCTTTATAAATCTAGTTGAATCTCAATCTCTCAGTCTTTTTCTCTCTCATATTCTCTCTCTCTCTCTCTCTCTCTCTCTCTCTCTCTCTCTCTCTCTCTCTCTCTCTCTCTCTCTCTCTCTCTCTCTCTCTCTCTCTCTCTCTCTCTCTCTCTCTCTCTCTCTCTCTCTCTCTCTCTCTCTCTCTCTCTCTCTCTCTCTCTCTCTCTCTCTCTCTGTCTCTCTCTCTCTCTCTCTCTCTCTCTCTCTCTCTCTCTCTCTCTCTCTCTCTCTCTCTCTCTCTCTCTCTCTCTCTCTCTCTCTCTCTCTCTCTCTCTCTCTCTCTCTCTCTCTCTCTCTCTCTCTCTCTCTCTCTCTCTCTCTCTCTCTCTCTCTCTCTCTCTCTCTCTCTCTCTCTCTCTCTCTCTCTCTCTCTCTCTCTCTCTCTCTCTCTCTTATCTCTATCAAATTCGTGCATTAACAAATACAAACTTTTCTAACAACGTCATTTTTTCCACTTACGAGTGTAAACATTCACCTCAACAACCCGCATTTAGTTTAAATGTAAACTAATGTAAACTCTCCTTCGGGCTGAGTCAGTAACCAGTGCCAAACACATCTACACTAACTACATAAAGCCTTGAGTGTGTAGACAGATGGTGTGTGTTCACTTCACTTGTTTTAATGAATACAAAGCGTCGTCTTAGGCAGTTTCTTCAGCTGGGTGAAGCTAAATCACGCTCTTCGTCTTCCAAGTGTTACAAATACTCTTGGATTTATCTAAGTCATTTGTCTCGTGTGTAAGATCATCTGTATGGCGTCTTGTGACGGCCAGTCCCACGCTGCTCCTCCCTGTACTGATTTTTACAACCCGTTCTCGCACTTGCTTATAGTCAATATCTTGCTTATGAATAGGTGCATATGTGGCATACTAATTTATTGTGAATATTTGAGTTTACCTGAATGCTGAATAGAAAACCACAACCTAACCTAACCTTCTTAGTATGTTAAGATATTACAATTAGTACTGAGCCTATACCTATATTGATATTACAGTTTTATAAAAATAATAAAACAAAACTAAAATATTTAAATAAATTTTAAAGTAACTCAGGATATTGTCAAATTTTGTATAAAATCTCTATTGATTAATAAAACTGAGAGGAAAAGTTAGTGGCTTGAAAAAAAATATGGCCTGGAATATGTCACATATGTGCTGTCTTGTGCGAGAGCGGGTTGATTTTTACTGACACGAATGTTTAGGGTCCACGGAGACGGTATGCGCAGCGCATGTATGTGTGTGGGCCTGTCAGGGACTACCTGTCAGCGACGACCTGTCAGGGACGACCTGTCAGGGACGACCAGAGTGCGACTACGGAAACGTCAGGTCCAGCTCGTGATTCGCCACCTTCCAGTCTTGTTGTACTCGTCGCGTCACAGTTTAACTTTGGGCTCTATATATGGTGACGATTCCATCTAACTGTTGCACCAGCGGCAGTGGCGACAGCGGCGGCAGCGGCGGCAGTGGCGGCAGCGGTGACAGCGGTGGCAGCGGCTACAGCGGCGGCAGCGGCGGCAGCAGCGGCGGCAGCAGCGGCGGCAGCAGCGGCGGCAGCGGCGACAGCGGCGGCAGCGTATTGTACTGCTAGCTTAAAAAAAGGTGGTGCCCCGCTCTGACCATTGTTTCCGTAGGGAGGAAACGCCGTGACTCTGACAGCCACTCGTGTTCCTCCTACGGAAACTTCCCCACTTTATCAAGCAGGATTATTATCTGTATTTGGAAGGAAATTAGTTTGGTGATCCTGGTATAGAATCTAGAATAAGTTACCGCGGCGTAAAGTTCTGACAAACTAGAAGTGTCATCTAACACGACTAATTATGAGATATGGATTAGAGTTACACATCATATCGGTAATAAGGAGAGCGACATGTTTTGGAGCATGAGAGAGCATAGAGCCATGAGGAAAGGGCATAGAGCCACAGCTGCACAGTGAGTCATGAGGTGAGGACATAGAGCTACAGCTGCACAGTGAGCCATGAGGTGAGGACATAGAACCACAGCTGCACAGTGACCCTTGAGGAGAGGACATAGAGCCACAGCTGCACAGTGAGCCATGAGGAGAGGACATAGAGCCACAGCTGCACAGTGAGCCATGAGGA